ATACAGCAATAAAAGCAGAGACCCATCTTGTTCTTATGAAAGACTCACAAAGAGATAGAGCAACCATCTTGAATGTCCAAATGCTATGCCCAGTAAGTTTTAGAAAAAAATTTATTTATATCACTATGACCTTTAAAAGGAATCATCTGGAGAGAACTGGTTATAGCATAGTCTTTAATATACCCTACAACTTTCACATAAAGCTAAGTTCCCTGTCACACAGCTCACTATTAAAATGAGCTAACAAAATCAGGTGGAAACGTAATACCAGCTCATGAGACCATTCTTTGCCATCTCTGGGGCAATGAATGTGTCTTTTTTCTTATCCTGTAAATTACCTGCCATTTTTTAGAGAGCCACAAAAACAAACAATAGACCCTTACTCCTGCCAAAAGTGATATTTCAAAGAGCTGTAGAGAAGACACTAACAAAACCTTACCTGGAAAATAATCAAGATTTTACTATAGCTACTTGTGAGAATTAATGCACCAACACCACACGGAAGAACTTCCTTTGTCAGAATGGTAAGAGAGACATAGGTGCTTCTGGATTGTAGAAATATCTTAACTATGTACAGAAATTATCTTGTAAGAAGGGACTTGTCAGGTACCAGCCCTCCAAACCCAGAGTCCAGAGATGTGAATGAATGGCCAGGCCTGAGGAAGAGGAGAATGATCACTTGTGGCTGTCAGAACTTCATTAATAGGGGAGTTGTGAAAAATCAGTTCTTCTCTGAGGAATCACAAGGTTTATGTTTTATTTCTCCTTTGGACTCAGCACATTTTCAGCTTCTAAAGAAGTGGAAAGAAGGCATGAACAAGATGTGCATTGGAACTTGCTTCTCTCAACAGAAGATCTCAGTTCAAAACGCAGAGAATTGAGATCTTAACTAGAGAGATGAAGAGATCTCTTTAGGACATTGTGAAGAAAGAAAAACTTACTGTATAGAAGACTAAATTCTGTCTCGCAGCAAATGATTTTTCACAAGACTTCAAAGCACACAGAAGTTTTTCTCTAGGAAAAGTAATAGGTACCTGGGAAAGAAACATGGGGGCTCCTCTGCTTCAGAAAAGCTATCCCTACCACAGGGCCTGCAGTATTAATAGCCTAGGTATGTGAGCACCAGTGCTCTTTCCTGAGTTACCTGAAATGTAAATAACTTCTAATTCTAAATCTTTTACATGCAAACTTCAAGGCCAGAACCTATATCCCTGATCCAGCACCTGCACTTTCCTGGCATGCATCTGTCTCTTGAAGCCTAAAATATATTATATAAACGTATCCAGTGAGTTCATAACCTTGTTCACCCAGAAGAAAACATTTCCAATTATAAATCTCAATAGAAAAATAGAATCCCTTTTAGATAATATGGAGGAGCTGCAAACACTTAACTTCAAGAGGAGCATAGAAAATATTTTTTAAAAGCCAGACTAGGCCTTTGTTTTCCTATCTATTGGCTTTTTAATAAGATGAGCATTGTTAGTACTGCAAGCAGTTACAGTCTCCACCTTGAGAGTCACTTCATGTTCCTGCTGTCAGACATGAAAGATTCCTCTCCTCTCACCAGCTCGATAAAAATCAGAAGTTGTATTAGTACAATCCAAACACAATGAAATAGTACTTGCAAACCCTTTCTCTGCAAAACAGGGATGCTGCTGTATAAAGAAACCTGTACACATATATAGTGGAAAATTCAGATAATAGTAACCGAGAAGAATTTGGCTTTTGCAGCTGTTTTACAGAGTCAGGAACAGACTCAGTAGCACAGACTGATAGGTGAACACAGGCTACGACTCAGTTTGCTTCATTAGGTAGAGTTCGTATCAGAGGAAAACTCCAGCAGAACAGACAGAGTCTAAGAAAAATCCTGCTAGTCTCTTCACCCAAATATAATGCAGATGTACAAAGTACAGCTGCAGATATTTAATTTTGTTCAGCAGTAAGCAAAGCACATTCTGAAATCTTATGGCAAAGTAAATAATGAAACAAACCTCATCTCTTAAAAATGCATTGTCCAAGAAAGGGGGAAGGGGATCAGATGGTATTATTTCTGTAACTATAGTTAAGATACTGTAAAACTTTAAATTTTCCCTATCTATTCATTTTATGAGTCAGCTTGTGTGTGTTCCAGACTGGCTCACAACGATGTTGAATGAGGCAGCAATATTTCACAAATCATTAAATCATCTGCAAGTGCTTTCCTTCTTCACCAAACACTCTTAAACCTTTCTCTCTTTGGAGAAGCAAAGACAGACAAGATACTGGTTCAGCTGATACAGCCTACTTATAAAGATGACAAGTGTGCTGTAACCAGACCCCTCACACCTGCAACAAGAATGACGTTTCTTAGGTCAGCTAAAACACATACCTACTGCAAACATTTGAATTGTTAGTATGAATTAATAAACAAGCCTTCTGTGGTTTTCGTACTCACAGTTTTCAGATATGAGTACAGCTACCAATGCTCTACTACTTGACCTACAAGGTGACAGAAGGGTTTTGATTTAGCAGACCCCTCAAACTTGATGGAGAAGCCAGAATCCAGCAACCTGCTTTTTAATGGTCTTTACCAGTCATGGGATTTTGACCCCTGTGGAGTCAGTGGCAAAATGCTACATGAGTCAGGATTTCACTTAATAAATGTTCATCTTCCTATGTTATGAAATATGCTTGGCTGTATTTTACAACAATTTGTCATATTCTTTAATATGAGCATATAACACACTCATTAAATACTAAATATATGTTAAGTATACATTTATTTTGCCTTACTAAGCAAAAAGCACATGACACTAAGGAAGACCATGAGTCTTGCTAGGTATTAGACAAGATTATCTCAACTGTGACAAAAATAATGCAAAAACTAGCTTTTCCTGTCACTTAGAAGACTGAGAAAGAATAGGTTTTAGAAATACCTGGTGAATTAATTTCTAAAATAAACCAATTTATTTCTAAAATATATATTCATCCTGTCTTAACACAGACTGAAGTGCATTTAGAAGCATACCGTGATTTTACTTTTCCTTCATCAAAAAAAGCTTTATACAGTAACAAGCATTAAGACAATCCCAATTTGAGTCACACACAGAACTCATTTGACTGTTTTCTCAAGTTGCTTTTTTTTTTTAATTACGACAATACACATCATAATGCAGACAAAACTAAGCAATAAAGTCAAGTAATGTTGCAAGACTCATGCAAGTTAGAAACACCAGAAGGATGACACTAGGTCAACATTTTTTTTTTCATTGCTTTTATTCATGTACTGAAATTCTTAGTATACCTCAAAATCTAGTTTCAGTAGTGAAATTACTGACCAATTAAACTCTAAAGGTTAAAGAACTGTGGACTCCACTCCTTTCTAGATTTCAAAAAACCTTTTCATTGAAAATCTCCTCTCTGTGACAATTTTGTTTCAAAAGTATTTCAAAACATTTACAGGTTTCAGTGGGGAGTTAAATCTTGCTCTAATAAAAAGGACTCAAAACAACAGATAAATACTTTATTTTTCCAACAATTGTATACTTTAAACAGAACAGGTAAAAAAAAGACTGTCATGACTGTACTTAAAGTTACTTAATCTTTAATTTGAGGAATATACTTTACCAAGTTGGTTGACCTTGACATCTCTGTGTGTGGAAAACTTATAACTTTGTCCCTCTCTGTGACAACTTCTTTTCATTAATTATGACTAGTGATCAGTGTAGTCCAGATATGACTGTGCAAAGTTGTCCACTCTCCTTTATTAGTTAGTGCCATAACGTAACCACTACCAAGAGGGTATTACAGTGGCATTGGTCTGTAAATAAAATATGCTGAACAGTTCTAACTGCGCTGATGACGCATTTACCATGTAAGTCATTGTTAACTACAACTAAGGCAAGATGACCACTAGCTCTTCAGATTATGACAACAGGAAGTGGAAAATGGTCATTTAGCTGATTCATTTCTGGATTAACAAATTTGTGTTTCTAAGACACTGGGCTATGGCGGTCCAATTTTAATTTTATCTGTAGAAATATTTTTCTGCTGTAACTACACAGTATTTCTAAGACAGACCTGGAAAACACCCAGGAGAGAGGTTTCCGAGTTGTATCATGAGATAGTTACACTCCCTCTTTAGAGTACATCAATGGCCCAGAGGAATGATGAACTCAGAGTGGTCACCCTCCCAAGGATTTTGTCAGTAAAAATGGAATCACCAGATGGAGAGGAGCTGACATGGTACAAATTCAATTGTAACTCTGCAATGCAGTTCCACATTTCTGCAGAGTTCCATTTGCATTATGAGAATGGAGAAAATGGGATGAGCAGTTGCAATGTTTTGGACTCTAGTTTCTAGAATTATTTTTTTCTTAGTAGCAGTAGCAGTTCTTGCAGGTAAACTACCACCAAGCTCTCTGTTGTGTTTTGAACTAAGTCTCAAAGGCATCAAAACTGGCATAATACTTTAGCCCTTTATTCTTCCTGTTGCCTTTGACTAGATGATTCTGCACTTCAACTCACTCTGTGAGTCTTAAGTGTCTATTATGCTGATGAAAAATATCTATTTCAGAATAGAAAAATATCTGAACAACAATCACTCTTTAAGTCAGTATGTCCTGAACAGAAGCCAGGTAAGCAATTACATCTACTGAACAGCCTTTTCTTCAGCACTAACAGAGTATGGATATTTGGACAGCAGGTATCTGTTTGTCCATTTGCCCTGTGCCTTTGTGACTCGACTCATGTGTCCATGGCTGTGGGGACAGAAGAACACTCTGCACTCTGGGTTAATACATGGGACAGCACACTTTGATCTCTGAGATAGTTTCCAGGAGTTAATCACATGGTGCTGGGTAATCAGAGAATTAGGAATTTCTAATTCTAAGATAACCAGAGAAAACTTAGTTATTATGACCAACACCTGCACTTCTGAGCCACTGTTGTGCAGAAATGCTGCTCTATCACATTTATATATACAATTAATGAAAGTGTGATAAAGACACAAAGAAACTTACATAGTCATGAAAGGCTTTTGCTTCACTTGAATGTTCACATGTTTCTCGTCTCTCTGGGGCTGCACAGTAGAGATCCCAAAATACACTGCAAAATAAGAAGGTACAAAGGTGGTGAGAAAATTATACTACTTGTATAATTTTATGGTGTGTGTACACCAAACTTTTATTTTCATACACAGCAACAGACACATCAGCTCCTCACCCAAGGTTGAAAACACCTCTATTAAATAACTTAGCTTTGTAAAATATCTGTGAGGAATCAAGTTCTGGTATGTGGTTCTGTGAGGCAAGCAGTGATGTATTCCCTTAATAGCACCGTGGTATAGACCAAGATGCTAGTCTGACACACAAGGTTTACAGTTACTCAAGCACTGGACTTAACCTCATTCCACGGGCAACTGCTGCAATTAACTTCCACAAAGCACAGAAAGGGACAGATTTGTAATAACATGAAAAGGCAAGAAGCTAGAGAGAAAACTGGGAGTTCTTCCAAGGTCCGATACTGTGTTTTAAACAAAAGTTCCCACAGAAATAGGTGTATGGACAAGAGTAGGAAATAGATGGATATGTTCTTAGGTTATAAAGAGAGAAAGGCAATTATGGTCCTCCCACCAGTCTTCCTCAAACCCCTTCAAAGAGAGTTATACACAAACCAGTTCTAACACAATGTTTCTGGAATGACACTATGTATATGCTGGAACAACTAAAAGAACAAAATCTGATAGTGTTTCATAGCTGTGTCTTTACTGGTTTAGACTTAATTATCTGCAACACAGTCCAGCACCATAATATGGAATTGTGGAAAATTTGAGCACTTTGCTGCAGACAATTAAAATTAAGGATAATGCCGACATCAGAGATACAAGAGACATGTTCTTCTTGCTAGGCTTCCATCACACAGCTAAAAAATACTCAAGAAAGGTCAGTGAAAGATATTCCGCCTTCCATGAAGTTGTACCGGTCACCTGGGTTTGAATGGGGCCACTCTAAAACCTGGAAATTCTTGTACTCCTGACAGTTGGACAGCTTTTCTGTCATTCTGTATCTTTCAAACACAGGCATATTGGATATATTCAAATCATGTGACACCAATAAATACCATGCCTAAACAGAAGCGACTACTATGAGCACTCTTTTCTCCTTGGGAATTCTATACATGCAAATGTGTCTCTGCACACAACTATATACAAGCAAATTGTCTAATGCATAAAAAAAACAAGTCAAACCCATGTCTACCCTTCTTCTGAGCTGAAACTGTGCAAATTCAGCCACTGCAGCATCAAGCCCACGCGACTTCATGCTGTCTCTCAAAGAGGCTGTTAGTTTGGGTTCAGCTAATTACTTTCATATGCTATTCCCGGGTCTAGAATGTGGACTCTAGACTGAGGAAACTCATATCTATATGCAGAATCTCTGTATATACTGGTTTTTAGAAACACAGTTATTTAGGGTGTGTAGAATGATCTCCTAAACACACAATTTACTGGCAGGCAGTGAGGAAAGAAACGCAGGAAGGCCACCTTCCTTCAAAAGATGTTTTCTTATCAATGGACTATGTGATATTTCTTCTCCTGTATTTAACACCTTTATCTTCTTTAATATTTGAATTTTTATTCTTTCATTCCTTAACAAGCAAATGGCTCTTGAGCCTCCTCTTCACATTCCTTTTACAATGTTCACCTGAATTTCTTCCCTCCAGCTGCATGAACTAGCAATCAGCATATTCTAAAAATCAGAGAAGAAAATTGATACTTACCACCACCAGGAATGCAAGAATCCTGGGGGCTCCCCCAGTGTGATGTTTTTTTCCCATCTTATCTAAAACGAAATGATAAAAATAGAGGTGTACATTTTTGTGATCATTGTGACTAAAAAGCACTACATAATTCATGCAGACAGCAAAAAAAGAGAAAGAAGATTCTGTAGTTATAAACGGCTTTATCATTATCAATCTGGATGACCTTATAACTTTATTACACTTGTGAATATAACTAATACTTAAAATAAGCTTTTCTTATTCAGAAACCATATTTTAGATTTTTTTTTTTATTTATTTAAAATTTTGAATACAGTTCTAATGACAAATTTTGTACCATTCCGCAGATGAACCATGCATTTTTTTAAGGTCAAAACTGCATGACCAAACAAAAAGGTGTTAAAAAGCACCCTTAAAAACAATATAAAGGATTTTCCAGTTTGCTCTAAGGAAAACAGAGCAGCCGTAGAACT